GAATCAGAGAAATGGCATATTTGTTTTAGGATTCCAATCCCAGCCAACTCACACCCTTTAAAAGCTGAGAATACAAGTAGAAGAATAATGAATTTGTAATTAGAAGGTCAAAAATCCATGTAAAAGAAAATTATATTTTCTGTCCAGCTTTAAGAAAATAGGTGTGTAAAACAAATTGGGAAGTGTTCAAAAAAAGGAAAAAAAAAAAAGAAAAGAAAATAGGTTTGTAATTCTTTCCCACAAGTGGCAGCTTAGCATACACTTGTTATCATCAGTAAATACAAAATACTGTTTTTAAAAATGTGCTTTTAATTACAAAAGACCTTTCTTAGAAAATTAAATACGCCAAAGTATGTACTCAGTAAGTACACATCCCCATATCTAAGAAACTAATATAATCTATTTCCTAATAACTAACTTTAATCCCTAGGTTCAGAATTAGTTGGATCTCATTATTAACTTTGATAGTAGTAAAAACATTATGTAACTGTAGATGTTTTAAAGGTTAACACCAAGATACTGATCTTTTCCCAGGGTTTACTTTAAGATTTGCCATGAGACGGTAATACCTTTATTATTTATAAATTGACAAAAAAGGAACTCTAAGCTGTGTAATGCTACTAGTGCTCTAGCTACCTTGAAATGGAAACGTCAGGGCAGATGTTAAGTAAGTAGCAGAAGCATACAGATGAAAGACATAGAAGTAAGAAAGATACACGTTCACATTACTTCTAAAAACTAGATTATCTGGAATCATTGTTACAGTGTTACAAGAATATTCCACTATAAAACCAACAAGTATATATAACACTGAAGAACAAATACCTGCAATGCACTATCCTCCCACAAAAATTTAAAAAGACTGATAGCACCTCATTAACACATACTCTTTGATACACAAACTAAATGCCATAGTAATAATGCAAGGCGTGTTAAACTTTTAAACTTAGTGGATTCCTTACCTCAGCATATTTTCAAAAGAATAAAGAGAAAAAACTCAGATATTTTTAGCAATGATAGCAAATTACATGTAATTTAATTAATTGGATTTCTGCCTATACCATTTAATTATATATGAATAAACACTAATACTAAAATTCAAAATATAACACTTAACTAATTTTAAAATTATGTAAATTGAAGTAAAATTGAACATGATTTTAAAAATCACTTCAGTCATACACATTTGCATTTAAACTATTTTACAAATGATGTCTTTTATTAGACATCAAATAAATTTAATCTTTTCAATTTGCATATTCCCTAAAATGGATTTCCTCGAATAGAGAACTTATTGCCTACAAACCCAAGACACTGATGCAAAAATATGTCAGAGTTTAGGTTTAAAGAAACTGCTTTTATAGGTGGTAAAATAACTCAGTTTCTCTACCCATAAAGTTATTAGCCTTGATGAAACTGACATGAGTAGTCAATGTTATCTGGTATTGATGTTTATCACTTTTGGGTAACTAAAGACCTCCAAGTCATCTGATAACCCTGGCAAGGACCAAATCCAGTGGTTTTCAGGACATTTTACAGAGGAATTTAAAATGTGATAATGGAGAGAAGCAATAAAAGACAAAAACAAACAAAAACCCAAAAAAAACAAAAAAGTAAAACCAAAACTCTTAATTCTCTTTAAATTTTACTTATCTCCTAATCTATTCCTAATAACTAACTTTAATCCCTAGGTTCAGAATTAGTTGGATCTCATTATTAACTTTGATAGTAGTAAAAACATTATGTAACTGTAGATGTTTAAAGGTTAACACCAAGATACTGATCTTTTCCCAGAATCTTTTACATTCAACCCATTTTATCTATTCTTCACATTTTGTCAGATAGGTCAAACCCAGATAGTGATTTGGTGCCAAAAAGTATTTGAATTCTATTATTATAAATCTAAAGCACTAAAATGGAAATTAAAAAAAATTTTAAGTAAAAATTGATGGAAGCTTTACAATCCAGTCTGTATAAATATTGAAAGTTTTATTTTGAAGTTCCTTGAATATGTAACTATATAAAATGGCATAATAGCTTGCTGTAGTCCATTGCTCAAGTTTTGCTAAGAAATTGAGATGATTCAACAATGTAATTCTAATTCCAGTCTTGCTGACCTGTTAACTTTCAACAAAAAGGAAAAGTATTTAAGTTTTAAAATTTTACCTAAGTAAAGTTGATCTTTAGACACAATGTTTCTAAACTGCTTTTGAAGACAGTTAGTAGGCAGCTCTACAATTCGTATAAATATCTCCTCTTCAGTTAGTGGAAATTTCTTTGTTCGAGACTCCTCTGAAAACGTTGATTCTGGCGGAGAAATCTGTATCACTTCCTGGACTGATAGCCATTCTATTAGAAAATAATATAAAAATTTGTTTTAGTCAATGTTAATCACCTAAAATGGCATTATCATCATGTTTCAAATGGAGGGGAATCAAGATATTATAAAGTTTTTATATGTATATAAAAAGGATGAAATATAACATATATATAGAAAAAATCAAGACATTAAAGGTTTTATATGTAGAAGAAAAAGATGAACACTATATGTATATGGACATAGCCTTTGGCAGTTGATTTCTAATTATATATATGTATATATACACATATGTGAATTGTTTTTCAAGTATGTGATAATAGCCAAAGTACAAAGATAATACAAAAGAATCATCATAGGACAAAGTAAAAGCACATATCTATTTTCTCAAAATAAGAGGACAGTCAGATAAGGCTCTTTATAGAGTTGTCAAGATAATTAAATCAGTTAATACTTGTAAAGCATATAGAACACTGGTACATAATAAGTGCTAAATAAACTGTAGATAGGGCCAGGCGCAGTGGCTCACGCCTGTAATCCTAGCACTCGGGGAAGCCGAGGCAGGCGGATTGCTCAAGGTCAGGAGTTCGAAACCAACCTGAGCAAGAGCGAGACCCCATCTCTACTATAAATAGAAAGAAAGTAACTGGCTAACTAAACATATATAGAAAAACTTAGCCGGGCATGATGGCACATGCCTGTAGTCCCAGCTACTCGGGAGGCTGAGGCAGTAGGATCGCTTGAGCCCAGGAGTTTGAGGTTGCTGTGAGCTAGGCTAATGCCACGGCATTCACTCTAGGCTGGGCAACAAAGCGAGACTGTCTCAATAAAGTCTCAATAAATAAATAAACTGTAGATAGTATGAAACTCCACAATAATGAGAATTTGGACATGACTGTTAGTTGGTACCCATCCTCCACAGCAGGATCAACGAGATTTCATGAACATCTCCATAGTGTAGACTCACATTTCAGATAACTGAATTTGAAAAGTCCCATAGCTAGCACTATCATGGAGTTTTACTGTGGTCCTTTATTATCAATAATATTTGGGGTTTAAATAGCACCTCTACTCACAAGAGCTTAAAGAACTGTCATATATCTTGTCTTATCCCTACTATAGTGGTCAAGTATTTTTTGTCTGTTTTACAGATGGGAAAATTGAGGAACAAAGATGTCACCCAGCTAGTAGTAAGCAGCAAAACACAGTAAATTTTGGTAACAGTTTCTTCTTTGTTAATGTGGATGGATGAAGGTTTATTAAGCAATAGTTACTATGAGGTATTAAATTGTGCTGATGGTCTAACAGCACAACATTACTTTCCCCAGGTTTGACTTCTAAAAATACATTCCAACCTAATACACTGAATATTTCAAGTTCAACAATAAGATGACACAGGTAGGGTCCCCTTCAGGACTCATTGGATTCTTACTCAGGAGGCCTAAATCACTTGCACCTTCTTGAATTATATAGGTCTTTTACACTTGGGAAAGAAAGATAATAATCGCTTATCATGGATGAAGTACCCTATTTATAATACACAGAACGCCTGCCTGACACTTTCATATTACACCAGATTTAGAAGGACCCCCATAGGGATGTGGTGTCACAGTCTGGTTACTGCAAATTGGTATCACTATAATTAAGCATCAGAGTTTTAAACACATATGCATGCACGCATCTCCTCACAAATGTGAAAGGAAACTGCTCCAAGAAGGCAGAGAAAATGAATGCTTACTTTGTAGCAAGCAATTTTAAAATATAAGTATTTTTAGGATCGTCCTTAAATACTCTTTCTAAATAAGGTGACTCCCTCACGTGGAGATCCCAAGGCAGAAATGCACCAGAATTCTATTCTTTTCCTTTCTGCAACGAGAGACTAAACTGAAGCTTAAATAAATATATAATTGCACCCCTCAGGCTTGGAAACCTCCTTTATTTAAAACTCCAGCCCGAGACGGAGACAGGGGCCTAGAGAGTACATTGCAGCAAACGGCTCCATAAATAACCAGCCACACAATAACAAGAAAAATAAACTGTTAACAAGCGCCTAAAGGGCCAAGTGAAAACAGAGGGTCATCCAGTAACCACCCCTACACAGTGAAATATGTTCACAGGTAATTTCGGGCACCATTTCTCTGTTTTTGCATTCCTCTGGAAATAAAACTGCATTTATATGTACATTTTAGGTGCATACATGGACCAACTGTTTATGACAGAGAAATAAAAGAAGCAAGGGGAGAAGAGAAAGCCGCACAGCGCGGGAGAGAGAGAGTGAAGAGACAGAGACAGCGAGCTGTTTGCTACCTAATTCCAGCTCGCAAACGAGGAAACGCAGCCAATTCTCTTCAGCTCTTCCGCGATCCGCGATCCTCTCACCGCTGCCGGACAGATATCGGCCTTTCTCTAATTACCATGGCAACTGCACCTCTCCGCCACCGGAAATAAGATACAGAGCACCTCTTCAAACGGTCCGGCTAGAAATATAGGAAATCGTTGATCCACAGAGAACAGAGATGGCTCTGTTGCTCCTCAATCTGGGGGTTGCTATGGCCAGAGTAGTGAGAAAGGGTCCTCTGTTGCAACCAGCAGGGGCCTAGACTTCCCACCTCACCCATTCCTCGCGCACACTCGGATCCTTTATTGTGAAGACGGTGTTTCCGGCCGGCCGCGGTAGGTGTGACACAGTGTCCTGGACTCTCTTGCCCGCGCTTTTCGTTCTTGGTTTCCTTTCCACGGATGCTCTCTCAGAAGTCGCTCAGTTCGTTTTATCCAGTGGCAGTGGTGCTTCTCTGAATCTCGAAATGCTGTAGGTATCTCCTCCCCAGGTACTGCTGTTTAGAGGCCCACTGTGAGCAAGAAGAGTAGAAATTATGTGACCCAATAGCCTTTTTGTTTTCCTATGTTTTGAGTATGAACGTCTTTCCTCTTTTGACAGTTCCCCGTGCTTGGTACTCTCAACTCACCTCTACTTCTTTTCCAGCAGTACTCATCCGGTAGTCCTCGTTCACTTTAATTCTGTTTCTCCAAGGCTTTTAACAGATTTTGTAGGCTTTGGGCTGTATTTAGGCGATGTCTAACTTGTAATCATTTAAATAAGGTTAACATACCGAGGATAAAACAGAGTAGATGAAAACATGCCCATATAACTTGTAAAGCCTTTTAGTGCCTAGATAAATGTGGTAAGTTCATATAAACTGGAGGGAGAACTAATGGACTTGGGTCAGGACACCTGATTCCACTTAAGAGTCACTGTTGGGCAAGTCCCTTATGGACTCTGGGTTTCAGTTTTCTTATAAAAATAAAAGTTTGTACTGCATGATCTCCAATTTATCATCAGGCGCCATCTGATTATTGAAAAATGACCACAGTGGAATAGGCATTATGCAAGAGACTATTTATTTGTTCTTCCTCCCCTTAATCCATCCTGTATTGAAATGCACAAAACATAGTTGCTGCCCTATAGAAACTTAAAAAAAAAAAAAGTCACTAAAGAACTTGAGGGATGGGGTGGATATCTAACGTGAGAAATTCTTTTCTGGCTGCTCCTTCTCCCCGGCTTTGATACTGCCTCCAGAGTAATCCTTTGTTAATTTCAGGATTGAGTAAGATGCAGAGTAACACAGCAGGGGAATTGTTTGTATCAAATATGACGACATGAAAGTAGGAAGATGTTCAGAAATAATAACCTGTATTGAATCTTTAATTATGATCTGGGTACCATCTTTAGCAATTTATCTACGTTTTCTCATTGAACCCTAAAGGACCTTAGGAGATAATGCTATTATCTTTACAAATAAAGAAACTCAACGCCTTTATGGTGTCCTACACATAGGTATCAATAAATGCATCTTTTACTTTTACATTATGGATTATTGAGGAGGTTTTCCTTTTCCCAGAATTAAGCAAAAAGACTTATCTCCCTACTGTGGCATTAGAATGATCCCCCAGTTATCATATAAACAAAGCTGCAAGATAATATAATAAAAAAATCCCTAAGTAGACATACAATGAAAACAAATATTTGTATTTGCTTAACAAGTAGTGATACTTCCTGAACTATATTGCTGTTCTAAGAGTGACAAACCAAAAAACTATTAAAAGTAGAACTTTCTGACTACTGTCTTAACATATCAGCAGGTACATGTTAGGAGATTTTTGAGGTAAATATATTCTGACGATAAATTCACAATCTTAAAATTGAGGATGGCATCTCACATACATAGCAACTGCTTTAAGTTTACATGTTTTAGCAATGTGATTTAAGACCAAATTAACAGTTAGATAATGCATAAAGTATAATAGCATTTTCAGTAGAGGGTTTCTATCATTCTTGGTAAACTAAGTGGTCTTTATTTTATTTATTTATTAATTTTTAAATTTTTTTCCAGACAGTTTTTACAAGTCTCAGTCTGTCAACGAGGCTGGAGTATTTATTTACTTTTAGAGTTAGGATCTAAGTCTGTCTCACTCTGCCCAGGCTGGAGTACAGTGGCACAGTCATAGCGCAGTACAACTTCAAATTCCTGGGCTCAAGCAATCTTCCTATCTCAGCTTTCCAAGTAGCTAGAACCACAGGCCCATACCACCATGCCTGGCCAATTTTTAAATTTTTTATAGATTCAGGGTCTTGCTGCATTGTACAGGCTGCTCTTGAACACCTGGGCTTGAGTGATCCTCCTGCCTTGGCCAGTTTTTTTTTTTTTTTTTTTTAACACATCATGTGCCACACTGGAAACTTTTTTTTCCTCTGGGGCCATGGTGTTTTATTACTAAAATAAAATAAAAACTTTGAAAGCTAAACAATCCTTTCTAATTTAATGAAAAATTTGTTACTTTTTATTGTTTTCTGTGCATGAGTTATATGCAATTAAATTGTCAACGTTAATTGTAACAGTAAGAACATCAACAAGTATATTTTCATGAACCAATTGCAGGGTTTTGCCCAGAGGACCATAAAAGACAAAACAAACAAAAACCAAAAAACAACAAAAAAAGTAAACCCCAAAACTCTTATTCTCTTTTAAATTTTACTTATCTCCTAATCTATTTCCTAATAACTAACTTTAATCCCTAGGTTCAGAATTAGTTGGATCTCATTATTAACTTTGATAGTAGTAAAACATTATGTAACTGTAGATGTTTAAAGGTTAACACCAAGATACTGATCTTTTCCCAGAATCTTTTACATTCAACCCATTTTATCTATTCTTCACATTTTGTCAGATAGGTCAAATCCAGATAGTGATTTGGTGCCAAAATTATTTGAATTCATTATTATAAATCTTAAAGCACTAAAATGAGAATTAAAAAAAATTTTAAGTAGAAAATTGATGGAAGCTTTACAATCCAGTCTGTATAATATTGAAAGTTTTATTTTGAAGTTCCTTGAATATGTAACTATATAAAATGCATAATAGCTTGCTGTAGTTCCATTGCTCAAGTTTTGCTAAGAAATTGAGATGATTCAACAATGTAATTCTAATTCCAGTCTTGCTGACCTGTTAACTTTCAACAAAAAGGAAAAATATTTAAGTTTTTAAAATTTTACCTAAGTAAAGTTGATCTTTAGACACAATGTTTCTAAACTGCTTTTGAAGACAGTTAAGTAGGCAGCTCTACAATTCGTATAAAATATACCTCTTCAGTTAGTGGAAATTTCTTTGTTCGAGACTCTCTGAAAACGTTGATTTCTGGCTGGAGAAATCTGTATCACTTCCTGGACTGATAGCCATTCTATTAGAAAATAATATAAAAATTTGTTTTAGTCAATGTTAATCACCTAAAATGCATTATCATCATGTTTCAAATAGGGGAATCAAGATATTAAAGTTTTTATATGTATAAAAAAGGATGAAAATATAACATATAATAGAAAAAATCAAGACATTAAGGTTTTAATGTAGAAGAAAAAGATGAACACTATATATATGGACATAGCCTTTGGCAGTTGATTTCTAATTATATATATGTATATATACACATTATGTGAATTGTTTTTCAAGTATGTGATAATAGCCAAAGTACAAGATAATACAAAAGAATCATCATAGGACAAAGTAAAAGCACATATCTATTTTCTCAAAATAAGAGACAGTCAGATAAGGCTCTTTATAGAGTTGTCAAGATAATTAAATCAGTTAATACTTGTAAAGCATATAGAACACTGGTACATAATAAGTGCTAAATAAACTGTAGAGTAGGCCAGGCGCAGTGGCTCACGCCTGTAATCCTAGCACTCGGGAAGCCGAGGCAGGCGGATTGCTCAAGGTCAGGAGTTCGAAACCAACCTGAGCAAGAGCGAGACCCATCTCTACTATAAATAGAAAGAAAGTAACTGCTAACTAAACATATATAGAAAAACTTAGCCGGCATGATGGCACATGCCTGTAGTCCCAGTACTCGGAGCTGAGGCAGTAGGACTGCTTGAGCCCAGAGTTGGAGGTTGCTGTGAGCTAGGCTAATGCCACGCATTCACTCTAGCTGGGCAACAAAGCGAGACTGTCTCAATAAATAAATAAATAAATAAACTGTAGATAGTATGAAACTCCACAAAATGAGAATTTGGACATGACTGTTAGTTGGTACCCATCCTCCACAGCAGGATCAACGAGATTTCATGAACATCTCCATAGTGTAGGACTCACATTTCAGATAACTGAATTTGAAAAGTCCCATAGCTAGCACTATCATGGAGTTTTACTGTGGTCCTTGTATTATCAATAATATTTGGGGTTTAAATAGCACCTCTACTCACAAGAGCTTAAAGAACTGTCATATATCTTGTCTTATCCCTACTTAGTGGTCAAGTATTTTTTTCTGTTTTACAGATGGGAAAATTGAGGAACAGAGATGTCACCCAGCTAGTATAAGCAGCAAAACACAGTAAATTTTGGTAACAGTTTCTTCTTTGTTAATGTGGATGGATGAAGGTTTATTAAGCAATAGTTACTATGAGTATTAAATTGTGCTGATGGTCTAACAGCTTCCAACATTACTTTCCCCAGGTTGACTTCTAAAAATACATTCCAACCTAATACACTGAATATTCAAGTTCAACAATAAGATGACACAGTAGTCCCCTTCAGGAACTCATTGGATTCTTACTCAGGAGGCCTAATCACTTGCCACCTTCTTGAATTGATATAGGTCTTTTACACTTGGGAAAGAAAGATATAATCGCTTATCATGGATAAGTACCCTATTTATAATACACAGAACGCCTGCCTGACACTTTCATATTACACCAGATTTAGAAGGACCCCATAGGGATGTGGTTCACACAGTCGGTTACTGCAATTGCATCACTATAATTAAGGCATCAGAGTTTAAACACATATGCATGCACGCATCTCCTCACAAATGTGAAAAGAAAACTGCTCCAAGAAGCAGAGAAAATGAATGCTTACTTTGTAGCAACAATTTAAAATATAAGTATTTTAGGAATCGTCCTTAAATACTCCTTTTCTAAATAAGGTGACTCCTCACGTGGAATCCCAAGGCAGAAATGCACCAGAATTCTATTCTTTTCCTTTCTGCAACGAGAGACTAAACTGAAGCTTAAATAAATATATAATTGCACCCCCTCAGGCTTGGAAACCTCCTTTATTTAAAACTCCAGCCCGAGACGGAGACAGGGGCCTAGAGAGTACATTGCAGCAAACGGCTCCATAAATAACCAGCCACACAATAACAAGAAAAATAAACTGTTAACAAGCGCCTAAAGGGCCAAGTGAAACAGAGGCCATCCAGTAACCACCCCTACACAGTGAAATATGTTCACAGGTAATTCGGGCACCATCCTCTCTG